AAATATAAAAAAACTTAAAAATAAATGATAGTAATTTATTAAATTACCGAATCCAGTGACGAAATTAATGATAAACTCCAAAAATGTTTGGGATAGCGAAGATAACGTTACAAAATGATATTGGCAGTCTCATTATAGATAAAAAAATAAGGTCTATAACACTTTTTTTTTTTGCTTATATAGATAAGAGATTATAGTTTGAAAAAGAGAGAAGCATTTTAAAAGATTACGATTGAGTATTCTGAAAGTAGAAAAAACTTCAAATTCTTTAGTTGTACAATGAAACACATAACATAATGTGTAATATATGTAGAATATCTTATATTTATGTGTAAATCAATATCATGATCAAAGAGAAAAGTACGCTTAGGAATTCACCATTTGGTCAAATGTTTATAGTATGAAAAACGGAGAAACAACAGATTTAAAGCATTTAAAGTTCCGGAGAAACAAATATTGGATTGCAACAATATATTGACATCCAAAAAAAAAAGCATTAGCGCTAGCTGTCAATATCGTGGAATAACATATTAAGATAGTGTAATATTTAATAATTATAATATGACATATAAAAATTATTTTAAATATTTTGTCATTTAACATTACCGCCGCTATTATCAATTTTAACTTTCTTATTGTTTCTAATTACCACTACAAAGGTCGTTACCACATTTCACCAGTTTGATTCTTATATTTTTCTATATTATTGTTACACACAAATTTTCAAAAATAATATAATTTAAGAAGATTATCCACTTATTCATTTTTTATTTTATTTTTAAGGACAAAATTTCTAATGAAATAAAATAGTTAGACCAATATAGTTTACGATTAAACTGCGTGGGTCGATTTCTAGTATATATATATATGAAACAATTTTTATTTTCATATAAGCAAAAATGGTATTTTTGATAAATATAGTTTCGAGACATTTTGTTGATACGAGCAGTGTTCCACGTACCATTCACATTAGTGGAAGCATAGGCAAAATGCAAGAACAGTTTTGAACTTAACTTCCCAACAATCTCACTATAAGTACAAATACGTTGTCTTGGAGATTTTTTTAATCTAGAAGCTTAAATTCTAGAAAGCTACTACAAGTGCACAGACAATGGCAAAAGTAATTTAGGGATCCAATTGCCATACTAGAATCGCTTCGATTTGAATCAAACTAAAACCAAAATATGAGTTTTTTTAAATTAAGGAAAATGACATCTTGTTGTCACAGTGGACCATAATAAATGGTTAACTAACTAGGTTAATGTAGATTAAAAACTATGTGTTAAATATTACACATTTTTCCTTACCATCATTCACATCCATGAGTTTTAATGGGCCGGAAAACAAAATGAGCAAGAACTTCAGATAAAAATGGTCAATTGATAATGAACTTCTTTGTTCGAAAACATGCGTGCCGTTTGGATAGCATTAAAATGACATGCATGTCTAACCCCAAACGAGATCCACCAGAGATTAGTATACTGCGGATAACAGAAGATCACTAACACCGATCCATCTAATCGCAATTTCCTATTGGGTGCTTTATCGCTTCGGCTCAAACTTCAACGAAAACTAATTATTAAAAAAAAAAAAAATTCTCCATTAATCCTTAAAGATCGCTCTCTCTCACACACGCTCAAACTCAGAGAGTAACAATGGCGTCGGCGACACTGGTGGTTGACGCGGATTACCTTAAAGAGATCGATAAAGCTCGCCGTGAACTCCGTGCACTCATTGCTAAGAAGAATTGCGCTCCGATCATGCTCCGATTAGCGTAAGTTTCTATTTCTGTACTTTTTCCGATTCCGTCATGTTAAGCGCGACGAGGTTCTAAAAAATCTCGCGATGTTGTGGAAAATTGTTCGCTGCATTTACGATATCTCGGTACTTTGATTTTGTTCACTTGTTGTTGTTGTTGTTGTCGTCTTTGGTTTTGAAGGTGGCATGATGCTGGAACTTATGATGCTGAATCGAAGACTGGTGGACCTAATGGCTCGATTAGGAACGAAGAAGAGTATAGTCATGGTGCTAATAGTGGTTTGAAGATCGCTCTTGATCTCTGTGGTGCGTTTTTTCGCTTTCCTTCTCTGCTCATTAGAGATTGGAGTTGAGATTCAGTGATTTAGGGATTGTGTTTAGTAGCTTGACGAGATAATTCACATTTGGAACGTATTATTATATGGCTTCTGAAATCTTGCTAAGTATACATAATCGTTTTGTACATTGACCTTAACATGATTATGTGTTGGCTCTTTACTTGAAATAGGATCGTTCTTTTAGTAGTCCAGAGGATTTATGAGAAGTTCACATGTTTAACTTTTTAGTCTATACACATGATCATTTTTACTTTGTATTCATGTGGTGTATTAGTTTATCTTATGATTTACGAACAATTTTCATAACTATCTTTTGAACTTGATGGTGGTTCTTTGATATTTCAGAGGAAGTGAAAAGTAAACATCCCAAAATCAGTTATGCAGACCTATACCAGGTAAGAATTTTGCATGAACTTCTATGATTACATAATTATAAAAGTAAGACTATAAACAAAGATTAGTGTTATATCCCTTTTGTTTAGTTGCTTTTTGCCCTCTTTATTCAGATTTCCCTGGGAGTTGGTTAGCAGTTAGTGTCACGTAAACTCATCAGAAGGGCTAGTTTGTTTGATAAATTCAGTGGAATTGTGCGTTTGTGGTCTTCAGGGTATAGAAACAGGGGAATTGACAATTGTGCTTCAGGGTTGAAATATTTGGCTTATTTGCAGTGGGAAAATTCTTATCACAAATTAGAAATAATGGTCTAGTTTGTATTCTCTGGCTTTCACAATGGTACTTCAAGTAAAATCTATTGATACAGTGTAAGAGTTATGGAAGAATTTAACAAAACGTCTAATCCATTTCTTTGCTAGGAGATGCACTCACGATAGACCATAAAAAAGCGCCACTTGATCGTTGACTGTAAATTTTTGAAAATTTCCTGAATTTGGCTGTGTCAGTAAGGCTGCATTAACATTTCACTTGGTTTCCTTAAACTATTTACTCATCAGTGGTGTTCTATTTAGCCCTGGACTTTCTAGGTTTTACATGTTTGTGCTTTTTACACCTATATCACATTTTTTAGTACTGTACATATCATGAATTGTACCACCGTTTTCTTCCTTAGGTATCATAATGTCAAGGCTTTAGCTGTGAATGCAAAAACAAATGTCCACAAGCAGGGCTGCTATTATATTATTGCAAGCAATTTGCAGATCTCAGTCATAATCACATGAAATTGATTCTGTCATTTTCAGCTTGCTGGTGTGGTAGCGGTTGAAGTTACTGGTGGACCTGACATCAGTTTTGTTCCTGGCCGAAAAGTAATGTTCTCTTAGCCATTAAGATTGATGATTTGTATTACAGCTTACTTCCAAAAGCAATTAACTATATTAGCTGTATGTTTCTCTCTTGTAGGATTCAAATGCCTGCACCGATGAAGGAAGACTTCCTGATGCTAATCAAGGTTGGATGAATTTTCTTTTTCCATTTATCACAAAATCCAGAGTGTTTTACTGAAAAATAAACACATGAACTTTATATTTAAGTAGTAAACAAATAACGGAAGATGGTCGCATGGAATATTTGGAGGGTCATGGTGTTTCCACGATGTACAACAACATTTTCATTTTGGAATGTTATCTTCCTCAATGAGGGTTTGAACTTATGTCTGCTATTTTGCATGTAGGTTTCAAACATCTCAAAGATGTCTTCTATCGAATGGGACTGTCTGATAAAGATATTGTGGCACTCTCAGGAGCTCATACTCTGGTAAATTCTTTGATTGCACAATTCACATTTGTTGTTTCTATTTAAAAGTTATGTATGGGGTTTCAATTAGATTACAATATTTAGGGAAGGGCACATCCAGAGAGATCAGGTTTTGATGGACCATGGACTCAAGATCCTCTAAAGTTTGATAACTCATACTTTGTGTAAGATCCCCTAAATCCGTGGACATTGTTTTTTTTTTATTGGAGACAACTACTAGTTGTTTTGTATACTGAATTGTTTAAATCATGATCACTGTTGGTACAGAGAATTGCTGAAAGAAGAAGAATCAGAGGGTTTACTGAAACTTTCAACAGACAAAACTTTGTTGGAAGTCCCGGAATTCCGTCAATACGTTGAGCTTTACGCAAAGGTAATATTATGGGAGTCTATCTTTACTCTGGTCCAAAGATCCGATTCAGTTATTAATTCGAATACAAGCCAAGGTAATGTTGCAAGTGGCATCTTGAATTCTTCTTTTGTCCCTTACAGGACGAAGATGCATTCTTCAGAGACTATGCAGAGTCACACAAGAAACTCTCAGAGCTCGGGTTCACTACACCAACGTCTTCAGTCACTAAGGCAATAACAGACAACAGCACGGCGCTAGCACATAGTGCAGTCGGGGTTGCAGTCGCTGCTGCTGTGGTGGCCTTTGGCTACTTCTATGAAATTCGGAGAAGGATGAAGTAAATAAAATAGAAAGAAGAAACGATTCTCCTTCTTATATCTCCGGTTTTGTAATCATTTTGCAACAAGATAACATGTCCAATATCTTATCGCTTAAATCAACATTCCAAATGATTTTGGTTCGGTTCAGTTTATGTGGTCAAGGTCAAGGGTGTGCCAGCCAGGTTTGGTTCAGGTTTTTGAGTTTTAGGAAAGTTACTACTTACTAGTTACTAGTAAACGTTTGACAAAAATAAAATAAAAAAACATATCATAAAAAAATATAGATATTTTATACGAAATTATACTTATACTTTTTATAAATTTTCATCAAATATATATAGTTGAAAAAACGAAAAAAAAATTACAAAGTAAAATGTGTGGAAATCAAAAGAGAAATAATATGTGAAGAAAATGTGAGTGTACAAGAAGGAAGTAAATTTCAGTGTCCCACATCGACTCTAGCATTGGAAGGAGACTAAAACTTACTTGTATATAAATTTAAAAATAGAAAGTTGTCAAATCAGGTCAACACTCATTAGTGAACTTTTAATTAACAAATTCAAATTGGTAAGCTAAATTAAGGATTAGATAAATATCATTAATCAAAAATGGTATTGCCGCTAAAAAGAAATTTCCTCTCTTCTTCAGACTCGAGCGTAACAACAATGGCGGAACTCGTGGTTGATGAAGTTTACCTTAAGGAGATCGACAAGGCTCGCCGTGAGCTCCGTGCTCTCATCTCTCAGAAAAATTGCGCCCCGATCATGCTCCGATTGGCGTAAGTTTCCATTTCCGTCGTCATTTTTTTCCGAATCATATTTGAGTGCTACGAACTTGAGAAATCTTGCGATGTTGTTGAATCTTGTTCACTGAGTCTGCGGTTTCATGTTGTGTTCTCTGGTTTGTGAAGGTGGCATGATGCTGGAACTTATGATGCTAAATCGAAGACTGGTGGACCTAATGGCTCGATTAGGAACGAAGAAGAGCATAGTCATGGTGCTAACAGTGGTTTGAAGATCGCTATCGATCTCTGTGGTACGTTTTTTCGTTTTCCTTATGGATTAGGTTGTGGTTGAGATTCAGTGACTAATTGAGTTCATCGTTCTAGGGATTGATTACGTTTCTTAACTTATCTATTGCAGTCTTTGCTTACACTAAATTGTTCATAGCTGACGAGATTTATCACATTTTGAACCTGGCTTTTGAAATCGTTTTGTATATAGATGATTATTGTTTTGACAATGTTTTACCTGGAATATACAGATTTACTTGTAATGAGCTTGTTCTACTAGTAGTCCTGAGGATTTATGAGAAGTTGACATGTTAAATTTGTTACTTTGTGTCTGATATACTCGTTAATTTTAGAAACTTTGACCTTGTACTCATGTGGGGTATCATTTTGGCTAGTCACTTGAGAAATTTTTTGGAAACAATCTTACTTTTTCTTTTGAATTTGATGGTGATTATTTGATATTTTCAGAGGAAGTGAAAGCTAAACATCCCACAATCACTTATGCGGACCTATACCAGGTAACTAAAACGAATTTTGCATACAGGTTCCTACTCGATTTCAGACTGTAAAGTGTAAACAAAGATCAGTATTAGATCCCTTTTGTTTAGTTGTGGTGGTAGTATAATTTCCTGGCGCCTTGTTATTTGTTCTCTTTCTTTAGAATTTCCTGCATATTTTTATCTGTTGTCTCAGAAACACATCAGAAGTTTTAGTCTGTTAGATATAATCGATTGAGTTGGGTGGTTGCAGTCCTCATCAGGGTGTAGTTAAAAGGGATTTGAAGTTGTGCTCCCGGGTTGTAATATTTGGCTGATTTGCAGTGTGAAGATTCTGGTAGTGAATCAGTAAGGCTGCATAAACATTTCAATAGGTTGCCTTTAAACTATACTCATCAGTGTTGTTCTATACTTCTATTTAGCCCTGGATTATATGAAGCTTACATATTTGGGCTTTTGCACATCAAGCCTTGGTAGCTGCTAGTTGGGGATGCTATTATCTTATAGCAAGGATGTTTTGAATCTGATTGGTTTCAATCGATAAATGGTTCTGTCATTTTTCAGCTTGCGGGTGTTGTAGCGGTTGAAATTACTGGTGGACCTGACATCAGTTTTGTTCCTGGAAGAAAAGTAAGATTCTATCAGCCTTTAAGATGTTATAACAGATTACTTTCAAAAGCATTTAACTAAATTAGCTGTATGTTTCTCTCTTATAGGATTCAAATGCCTGCACCGAAGAAGGAAGACTTCCTGATGCTAATCAAGGTAGGATGAAATCTTTTTCCATTAATCACAAACTCTAATATGTATTTTACTAACTAAAAATACTAAACTTTGTATTTGAGTAGCAAATGAACGATGTGCAATGTAATCTTCCTTTTGAATGTACCCTTTCCTCAATGAGGATTTGAAGTTATGTCTGATCTTTACATGTAGGTTTCAAACATCTTAAAGATGTCTTCTATCGGATGGGACTGTCTGATAAAGATATTGTGGCACTCTCAGGGGCTCATACTCTGGTACATTATTTGTTGCCTATTTCAGATTTGTCGTTTGGTATTAAATAAATAAGGTGTGTATAAGTGTTTTAATTAGATTTCAATGTTCAGGGAAGGGCTCATCTAGAGAGATCAGGTTTTGATGGACCATGGACTCGAGATCCTCTTAAGTTTGATAACTCATACTTCGTGTAAGATCCTCTAAAGTCATGGACAGTAATTTTGTTGGGTACAACATATAATTCTTCTGACTGATTACTGGATTGTTTAATCCATGATCTCTCTGTTGGTCCCAGGGAATTGCTGAAAGGAGAAGAATATTCAGAGGGTTTGCTGAAACTTTGGACGGACGAGACTTTGTTGGATGTACCAGAGTTCCGTCGTTATGTTGAGCTTTACGCAAAGGTATTATTATTCTGATCCAGTGAAACGATTTGAACTGTTAATCGTTTTGTTTCTTAACAAGTGTAAGTTTCTATTTTTGTTCCAACAGGACGAAGATGGATTCTTTAGAGACTATGCAGAGTCACACAAGAAACTTTCAGAGCTCGGTTTCACACCAACTGATTCAGTCACTAAGGAGGAGACTCAGAGGATCATTACTCTGGAACTAAAACTTTCAAAGCTTGGAGTCGCAGTCGTTGCTGCTGTTGTGGCATTTAGCTGCTTCAGTGAAATCCACAAAAGGATGAAGTAAATGAGATAAGAAAGACGAAACGATTCCTCTAACCTTCTCTGGATTTCTGGCTTTTGTTGGAAGTCTTTGCATGCATTTATCAAGATAATATGAACTAGTTCTGAAACAAAGATAAATTCCTACAACAGAAGGGCACTTTCAGTGGTTTTGGTTCGGTATATATGATTCAGATCTAAACTGGATATATCTATAGAGCTAAGTTTTGGTTCGGATTGGTTCGGATTGGTTCGGCTGCTATTCGTGTTCGGTTTTTCAACTAAGTCAAGACTTTTTCTGGTTTTGAGATTGGAATTTAATCTATTTGAATTGGTTTGGTTTATTTCTGGTTTTTCAGATATCGAAAAAGTAAAATATCATATCAACAAGCAAAGACTTTTTCGGGTTTATTGGTTCTACAGATTTGAATCGGTTTGGTTTTATTTGAATTCTATACCCCTAGGTCCAGTAGAAATATGTCTTCTATACTTTGGTTTTGGTATAGTTTGGTTTATTACAGGCTCGATTAGGTTTGGTTTAGAACTTATCTCAAGGTCTAGTATGTTAAATTCGGTTTAGTTTGGTTCAGTGTGGTTTGATTTGATTTGCCTTTTGGGAACTCTATTGAGATCTATGGTTGCCTCGTACTCTACGTAACAATAACATTGAGAGCTTTTAATACATATAGCAAGTAGCATTAATTGATAGTATAAGATTGGTGAAAAAGTACCCACCACACCTTACAACAAAGTGGGACTCACCGGAAACCGAACCCTATCGAGGACTTGACATGGTTGGTATTGTTAGGTACGAAGCTTCCTTAGACTTTTTTTGGCTTTATGTCCTTATAATTTTTTTGGGTTTTTTCGAATGTTTAGGATAATATTTCGAGTATTATGTACTCTTTGATTGTTTTATTTCCTTCACTCACATTTGTGTGCACATTTTAGCAAAATATGTTTTTTTTATTTAATGAGATTTCAATATTAGTGTGTATTTTTTAATCGCAATACTTTTTTTTTTTGTATAATAGTAGATGCAGACGCAACCAGCATAAAAATGAGGAGGTTAATATGGTAATTAGAAAAAGTAGTTAGAACAACTTTTAGGATATTGATTGATCGGTGTATATTGCAATGTGTCTTTGTACATTGTAAGGTATAAGGTCGGGTCATGACCTCTCTCTTTCATTTCAAACCACTCTTCTTTTTGCTAGTTCTATTTCTTATGTAAATTTCCCTAAGTAAAAACACTAAAACGTATATATATACTAGATCCTGACCCGCACGTACGTGCGGGATTTCATATTTTAAAAAATGTTTTCTAATAAAATTTAATTCAATATAGATAAGACAATGAGAGAAAGTAGTGTCGTCCCGTCCCGTCTCGTTGCCTATCTTAAATTTTTTTGTCACGTAACTGTTTCCTTTAAAATAATTACCAATATGAGAATGTTTAATTTAGTTCAACTGAGAAGAGAATGGATAAGAGATTTAGATGGAATACCTGTATTTTCCTTACTTTTCTTTTCGGGATTTAATTTTTACAAATAAATAGAATCTATCCAATTTTTTTTTGTTAAACATTCTCTAATTGTTTAAAACGCTAGTGCGGGTTATATTTGACAAACTCACGAAAGAAATTTTCTAATTCATACTTATATAACACCACATAAAACCTTATTCATCCGCGGTCTATAAAAAATGTTGTGTTTTCTCTAGTTGAAAAAAGCTACATGGTTGTAAAGCTTCATGGGCTGTCAAAAAAAAAAAAAAAAGGTTCATGGTTGTAAAGACTCAAACATAGAAAATAATAAAAACATCAAATACTAATCCAACTATTATTCTATTTGGTTTAATTATCTCTTTTCAAACTGTAGTAACATGATTATTCTGTTTGGATTATCTATTAATAAGTTCAAACTTAGACATATGAACTATTTTTTATCACTTTTTAGTATTTCGTTTGCGTATATCAAACGTATAAAATATGAGCAGACTGTAGGAAAGAACAAAGTTCATTAGCAATTTAGCATCAAGTAGTGTAATAACTCAAGTAAAATATTTGGTTTCTTTTCTATATAACTCACCCATTACAAAAGTGGAATCAAGAGCTTATAAAAAATCTATTTGCTTATATTCTCCGCTGATATTGTTGGATCATATTCATAAACTGAGTGTGACTGTCTTTTGACCCAACTCAGTAGAAGCTAAGCCATGGCTCGACAAACTTATGTAGTTAATTTATAAGTTGTAGAAACATAACGGAAATGAGAGTACAATGTTCTATTTGTAATTATCATCACACAATTAAAAGAAATGTATCCAAAAGTCAAATTTATAAACAGAGAACAAAATTTAATTAGTTATGACTTACATTTGGAATGGTGGGCTAATGAATCTTTGTGACTCTAATTTTATATATTTATAGGGAGAGATGAAGTTAATGAGAAAAATTAGGTTTACCTATTATGAATTTTAGAAAATGATTTAATATCTTAATTGATTATTTATTCTTATTTCAAATTTTAAGTCAAATCTCTTGTTTAAATATTCTTGTTTAAATATTTTGTATTTTTGAAATTAATGACAACATATTTATATTTCTTTTTTTTCTATCATCAATATATTGGTTTAAAGATATATTAAGAAATCAATTTTAGTATTAAAATCATATTAATAGAATATAGAATATGACTTTCGTTAAATTTCAAATCATTATTTAATTTTAAACAATGCTCATAAAGAATTTTGAAAATAAAAAATCTAATAATATGTTTTTCCTAAATTAAAATTCAATTAATTCAAACTAATTAAATCAGTTTGAATTAATTATCTTGCCGATTAAGTTTGAACTTCCAAGATTTTCTCAAACTATTAATAACTTATTTTTTCCCTAAATCCTGATTTTTAGGCAATATATTAGATTTTCGGATTTTATATATTTTAAGGTCATATATATAGTTTTTGTTATTTATTTGTAGTAAGATTTGGAAAAATCGACATTTGAAAAGATTGAAAACTTTTATTGATATCTATTAGGTAATTTTATGGTATGATTTGCATAGTTTATTTGGTATGAATTCTAATAATATAGGATTTATATATAAATTATTATTGGATTCATATAAAAACAATTTTTGATTTTTTAACCATATTATGATGATTATTAATTTCTATAAATGGTTGTTTCTTTAATAATAATAAATTAATGATTGGATATGAGTTTATTAATATATCCGAAATTTATGATTGCAATATTTGCAAAATCTTGGAATTAATATAATTGTTATTAATATCACTAATATGGTTGCTATTTTTTTTCTCCTTCTTTTAATTTAAAAATCCCAATGGCATTATATGTAATATTTTACCTTTTATAAGGTTATTTAATTTTGAGTGATTCCCAATTAATAGTATAGATAATTAGTTTACATTATTTGAAAACTGGGTGCAATATATTAGGGATTTATTTAAGGAAGATCCGATTGAAAAACAAAAAATAAAACGCAAAATAATTTAGAAATTAATATATACAATCTATTGTTTAGATATTTATCAAACTTGCTCTAAACGAAGGCTATAATGATAATTACTTTAAATTTATTATTATTTGAGTTTATTTCATAGTAAATATAAATAGTTGTTAATATCTAATATCATATTTTAGAAATTGTGAAATAAAATTTGGTTTATATTTTAAAATTTGTGAAAATATTATAACAAAACTGAATCTTAAAATATTTGTATTTAATTTTCTTATGAAATTTTAAATTCAATCTTAAAGTCCTCCATTGATAAATCTTTTATACGATAGTGTTTTTAATTTTGAATTAAAATGATATTATTTTTCTTTTTATTTTTGATATAGAATAGTCTATTACGATTGGTTTAGATAAAATCTTAGTTGGATATCAAATCTTAGTTCAATTCTCATTGGTTAACAATTTTTTAAAAATTAATTTCATATTTTCGTTTATAATTAATAGGAGAGAGAAAGTTAGTTTAATTTTTTGGAAATTAATAATTATTTAAAAGAATTAAACTATTTTTAATTTAAATATATTAATTTTGTGATTACTATTGTATCCTTAATGAAGTTATTTAAAAACACTAAAAACTAATGGCAATCTTTGTAATATCTTACACTTTATAAGGTTATTTAAGTTAGAATGATTCCCAATTAATAGTATAGATTCTTGTCTTTTTAACCAATTTCAATATCCAAACTTCTCGTGAACTAACGACTTTGGATACTCGAAGTCTCGAACCACTTTTTTTAGAACTAGGTAATCCTTTGCACTTTGGTGAACCTACTACTTAGTATAAGTCTAGTAGTATTTTCTTGTTGACTGGATTATTCTGGACTAGGTAAAGGCAAACATGGGGAATAAATATGAAATCATGATTTTAGTTTTTCGAAGATTTATTATAGAGAAATACTCTAAAATACCACACTTAAATTTTTGTTCCAAATATATCATCACTAGTTTATTTTCCCAATAATACCACAAATTTTTATAAAAATATTTGTTCAACCAAAATAAATTACAAATCAAATTTAAAATTATATTTGGGTTTCCTATTTTCAACTTACAATTTCTATTTTTACCATTTACAATTGATTCATTTTAAGATAAAAAATTTGTAGTATTTTTAGACAAAAACAAAACTATTGATTCTATTTTTAGAACAAAAACTTTAAAATTTGGTATTTTAGAAAATTGCATTTTATTATATTGGATACTAATTTATATGTACGTGACATTCTTGGGGTTTTCTTTATCATGCATGTTTGGTTTGAAAGATCTTGTTCGAGTTTTTTCATGGATATGCTTCATCGAGCTACTTTTTTCATTGATCAGGATCAGACTATTTCTAATATTTGAAATTAATATCACCACATTTCAAGCAAGAATAGGTGAATATTGTTTATTAAAATTGTACCGTCAATTACGAACCGAACTTGAGCTTGCTTAACATTTTAAAACTGACATTAGTTTAAATATGCGGACGTATTACGTATATCATATGATAAACTATAGGTTTATCTTTTAGGTTCAATGGGACTAGTACTTTATATAATATCGAAGGGCTTAATTTAACTTATCAATCAAGTCTTGTCCTAACAAATTCATTAAAATAAGTAAAACAATATTAGAAGTTTAGAACAAGCAATCTAAAAACGCAACCAATTAAATTAAATAAACATAACCTTTTCATCCAACAAACATTTTTTAACCCATCAATCAATCATTTAGAATTTAGAAAAATGAAAAAAGAAGAGTTGGAGTTATGATAATAAATAATTTTGTATTAAATGAAGTTGGACTATTCATCCACAAGGCGTCACGTATGGGCACATAGGGCTTGTCCCAACAAGATGATAGTGATATATATGAGTTTGGTACAAAATTGATATTCTAGAACACCTACTCTCTTTTTATTGTGTATGTATTTATCTATTTGTATTTGTGTTTTATATATTTTGAGGATAACAATCGGTGACACGTGGTTGTAATTATTAAAAAATAAATTTCACCGGTGTAATGGTGTTCACAGATTTGACTAGGGTGTGAACTTGAAGAAATTTCTGATTATTATGAGATTTTGTTATTTTTCTTTAAAATATGTAGGATTTAAGTATGTATGTATTATTATTATTATCAAGTTATAACGTTTTCACATCTCTAAACAAAATTATGCAAGTCCCACAAATTCAAACTTTATAATAATTCGCTTATTTTTTTCTGTCAAAATAAACTATCTTTACTTTATACATCTAGCAAATATGTAAAATGTAAATATTTATTTTCTTAGTAACGATAAGAAATGAAAAAAAACGGTAGTAAGAGATTTCAAAGTTGACAATAAAGCAGCTCATTTATATATTTTTATGAAAGATATGATGTGTCCCATACATGACATAAAATGGTATAAATTTTTAGTGGGTAGAAAAACGATAAACAATATCAACACAGTTAAAAGCGGTAAAAAAACGGTACAAACAATTCAAAAATAACGTTTTTGTAATTGGTAATTGTTAAAACGGAACATTATGTACCACAGGTGACCAATCAAAGCTGATGTTTTGTTAAACCGCAAATTTTGTATTGTTTCATATGTTAAGATTTGATGGATTGAAAGTAAAACAAAAATTGTGAATAATATGGTTATGAGATCTAACCATGGAAGGGGAAAACAAAATGAAAAAAGGTATAAAATAATGAATAATGTGAATGTGGCAGTTATAGTTTGATGTAAAATAAAAGATTAAACAAAAATCAAGAGCCCCACCAGCCACTCCTTCAAACGTGTCCTACCAACTCTCTTCTAGAAGCAATTAGGCTCACCTTCCACCTCCAACACCTATCTCTCCTTCTCTCTCTCCATAAAACCCTCAACAACAGAATCAAAAGCAACATCTTCACCATCAGAAGAAGAAGAAGAGAGCTATGGGAAGATCTCCTTGCTGTGAGAAAGAACACATGAACAAAGGTGCTTGGACTAAAGAAGAAGACGAGAGACTTGTCTCTTATATCAAGTCTCACGGTGAAGGTTGTTGGCGATCTCTTCCTAGAGCTGCTGGTCTCCTCCGTTGTGGTAAAAGCTGTCGTCTCCGGTGGATTAACTATCTCCGACCTGATCTCAAAAGAGGAAACTTTACACATGATGAAGATGAACTTATCGTCAAGCTTCATAGCCTCCTCGGTAACAAGTAAGCCCCTTTGCTCTGTTTCTTGAAAACTTATGCTCTGTTTCTTGAAAGCTTTTGCTCTGTTTCTTGAAACTTATGCTCTGTTTTTTTTTTCATTAGGTGGTCTTTAATTGCGGCGAGATTACCTGGAAGAACAGATAACGAGATCAAGAATTACTGGAACACACATATAAAGAGGAAGCTTTTGAGCAAAGGGATTGATCCGGCTACGCATAGAGCGATCAACGAGGCGAAAATTTCTGATTTGAAGAAAACAGAGGACCAAATTGTAAAAGATGTTTCTTTTGGGTCTAAGTTTGAGAAAATAGAAAAGTCTGGGGACAAGAAGCAAAATAAGCATATTAGAAATGGGTTAGTGTGCAAAGAAGAGAGAGTTGTTGTTGAAGAAAAGATATGCCCAGATTTGAATCTTGAGCTTAGGATCAGTCCACCATGGCAAAACCAGAGAGAAATATCTCCTTGCACTGCGTCCCGTTTTTACATGGAAAACGGCATGGAGTGTAGTAGTGAAACTGTGAAATGTCAAACAGAGGATAGTAGTAGCATTAGCTATTCTTCTATTGATATTAGTAGTAGTAACGTTGGTTATGACTTCTTGGGTTTGAAGACAAGAATTTTGGATTTTCGAAGCTTGGAAATGAAATAAATGAATAGTGAAATATAATTTTTAGATGTGTTAATGTTAGATTCTTAATTTTGCCATATTTTACTTCATCTTTGTTTTCCCTTTGTTTCCCAACATTTGTATATTAACTTGAAATTTTCAAATCAGATTTACTGTCTCATATGAGTTCAGTTGTTTTGTATTTACCATTTCAGTCGTAAAGCAAGTATTTGGTAAGTACGTGATTAGAAGTTTAAGTAGACTATTATGATGTTGCTACAAGAATAAGTACCGCAAGACCATGTGTTCCTATTATAAGGGACCATATCGAAAATTTAACAAAGATTCCAGTATATAAGATATATGGACTTATCCATTCATTGTCGGTCGGTTTTGAGTTGGAAACCTATAATCATACTTATGAGATCAATGTGTATTTTGATAAAGATCATCCACACGTGTATTTGCCATCAGGCATCATGTAGAATTAGCTTTCTGACATACGATAGGATTTAGAACTTTTAAATTTCTAAATCTAGTTATAATATACAAGAAGATTTGCATCTACTCTTATTGATTTGAAAAATGAAAAATGAAAAATGAAAAAATTTAACAATCTATGTGATACGTAAAATAGAATTTAGTGTACAGTGTAAATTATATCTTTAATTGACCAATATGAAAGTCTTAAAAATTTACTTACTTTTAAGAGAAAGGTTTTCCCAAAAAAGCTTTTCTTGTTTCATTTCAAAAGAAAATTCTTTGCACACATTATATAAAAAAAAAACCATTCATATATAGTGTTTTTGGTGCGTACCGAGGGGATAATTTCCCATGTAATTTATTCATAATACCATTCATATATAGTTAATCCAGGTTGAAAAAATTATTATAAAATTCATAGCCAGAATTAATATCTTTTTTATATGATTTTAATTGTGGTTGGCCATAGTGAACATTTTAAATAACAAAATGCTTAATTTTCTATAGAGATTAGTTAGGGAATATCCTAGTTATTAAAAAATTTCAATTTATTTATTTTCACTATGCTCACTTCTAGAAGCTTGAGATTTTTCAAGTAAGATGATAAGTTGTGTGAGGATGAGAAGTATGAGAGAACGATATATTGAAGTGGTTGGATGGTACATGTTTCAATTCATTACTACATATTTTAAAGACTTTTCATCGATCATATCTGGGATTTCCGTTGGATTTTAGCAAATAAGAGTTTATTATAAATCTTTTTTTTTTTTGTGAAAGGGCTAGTTTATTATAAATCTTATATGCTAATTTACATTATTTCAATTGGGTACATAGGACTTCTTCAAACTAAATAGATCTACAAATATCACATGAAAAATATGTAAAAATCAGAGTGCCTCACTTAGATACAATAGGTTAAGCAGAATCAAGGGCCCAACAGGTCAATTTAGATCACACGAACAGGTTGACTAAAGATTGTGGGAGATGTCAATTTTGGACATGAGGGTCCATTTATCGCTATGAAACACATGAAGCCAGATCTGTAAAATTGTGACATATAACCCATACAAATGATGGATGGCAAATACTAAGCGTTTAAAATCTTTTCGGGCATAGTAATAAATTTGACTAAAAACACGACCTAATCACGTCATATAGAACTTTGATACGATATCGTCAACATATCTCGTCTTCATTCAGAACTTTAATATATGAATTGGGTGTGAATAAATTTTATGGAAACAATTTTTTTTCTTCATCAAATTTATAATAATAGTTAAATCTTTGCGAACAAAAATATAATAGTTTGTGTTGATATCGTTGTTGCATCACGAAAAAAACTCGCATGATAGATGTTTGGTTGACAAAATTTTGTTAGTAACTAGAATTAATAATCCAAGGTTGAAAATGAATGCATTTTCTATGTTAAGAAGAGTAAACGTGTAACGAATAAGAAGAGAAAATGTTAAGAAGAGCGATACGCAGAGGAGTATTGGACGGAAGGTTTGGGATGGAATATGGATAGGATCGCAGATTTTATCCCTGAGCATATAAGGCAGAGACTGTATGCAGTGGTGTTGAAAGGAGTCCCGGGTTTAGAGGATAAATTGACATGGAAAGGGACAGAGAATGGGAAATTTACAGTCCGCTCTGCATACTCACTGTTGAAGGAGGATGGAATAGAGGGACCTTCGGTGGCAAGACTGTTTGAAAGGGTTTGGCGTGTGGTGGCTCCGGAGCGGGTTAGGGTATTTCTATGGTTGGTGGGGAATCAAGTAATACTAACCAATGTAGAGACAACAGTTTTTTGCGAAATCGTTGCTTGAATGGGTGTACTCGAATTTGATAGCTACACCAGAACAGGGGAATGAGGGCTGGCCTACACTTTTTGCGATGGCGATATGGTGGGCCTGGAAATGGCGGTGTGGTGATGTATTTGGAGAGAGAGGTTTGTGTCGGGATAGAACACGGTTTGTGAAAAACAGGGCTGCGGAGGTGACGAAGGCTCACTTGTTACTTACGGCGGGGAACCAAGTTAGTGATCGGGTGGAGAAGCAGATCGCATGGAAGAAACCGGGTGAGAGTTGGGTCACAATTAATACCGATGGGGCGTCTCGCGGTAACCCGGGGCTGGCGACGGCAGCTGGAGCTTTACGGGAAGGTAATGGGACTTGGTTAGGCGGCTTTGCTCTTAACATTGGGATTTGTACGGCTCCGGTGGCGGAGTTATGGGGAGTCTACTACGGGTTGGTCATAGCATGGGAAGGAGGGTTTAGACGGGTGATTTTGGAGGTGGACTCGGTTTTGGTGGTGGGTTTTTTGCAGTCAGGGGTTGAGGATACTCATCCACTGGCGTTCCTGGTACGACTGTGCCATGGCTTTATCTCAAGGGACTGGTTAGTCCGGGTTACGCATGTGTATAGGGAGGCTAATCGGTTAGCGGACGGATTAGCAAACTATGCTTTCTCTTTACCGTTGGGTTTTCAGCATTTAGATGTTTGTCCGGAAGATGTTGCTCCGGTTTTGTTAGACGATATTAATGGGGTCACACGCCCAAGACTTGTTCGTGTGTAATTTGCTTTAGTTTTTGAATAAATCATAGGAGGCATTGCCTCCTATCCCTTACCAAAAAAAATAAGATGCTTGAAAGAAGGGTCATCACATGCGTTTACACCAAATTCTAATCCACTTTATAACTTTTATTTATTGATTTTAGCATTATTACCTTTTCCAAATGTGTTAAGTGCACAATTTGTTGGTTATGTAATAAGAAGTGACAACATTATCTATTTTATAACTATATGATTCGTCTATCATAAATAATAAAATAAGGTTTTTCTAAAAAAAAGCTTTAAATAGTTGATATATGACATTTCTTTTTTCGACATTTGGCATTCCACCTTTTGATATGTGGCACTCTTCTTAAATTATCACTAGATTTTATTTTATTAAACAAATATCTTAAGTTATCCAAGAGACATATTTCTCTTTTTCTAATCATTAAAAAAAATAGGAAGAGATAACATTAAATTAGACAAATTGTTTTTTTTTTTCTATTTTTTTCTTTTCATTGAATCTAAAAACAAGCTCTAAGTAGTTGACATGTGACATTCATCCTTTCGACATGTGGCATTCCTTTTAAATTATCACTAAATTTTATTTTATTTAAAAAATATCTAGGTAACCTTAAATGCAACATTCACTCCCCAAAGATCAAAGACTCGTTACATATTGGAGGAGCTTGGATCCTAAGAAATCACTTGGGAGATGCAGTCTTTCACGCTCGGGATACTTTTCTCCCAATGGTAAACCGCTTAGCTACGGAACTCCATGTTATCCTTTGGTGTCTCCGGAGTTTAAAAGAGTTTTGTATAGATTCCTGTGAATTGTGGTCAGACTGTCGAGCGGCTATAGATGCTTTAGCTTCTCCGGAAGAGTACCCTAAGTACCGTTTTCAGATCATCAAGATTCAACAAGTAATACGGGTGATGCGGGAGGTTAGTTTCCACCTCTCTTCACCGAAAGCCAACTCTTTGGCTAAGAATATTGCTTGTAGTGTTACTCGAGAAGGACGGTTCACATCCTATTTAACACGCGGCGGTCCAGGATGGTTACATAATCGGATTGAAGACGAACGACGAGGTAGAAGATGATTTTGGTTGATCACGTCCTCCTCCGTTTTCGGTTTTACATTTCCCCTGTTTTAATGTTTTACTCTGCTTTTGTTAACTCTGGTTTTGATTTCACTATTAAAGACGACAAAAAAAAAATTTATCTAAAAATATCCGAAAGACATATATAAATATTTTTAATCATTTTAAAAATAGAAAGAGGTAACATTAAATTAGACAAAAAAATCCTATTTTTTCTTTATTTTCTTTTCACTTAATTTAAAAACTAACATCAATAAACTTTAATAAATTAAACTAATTTTTAAAGCTATATGTATGTTTATTGTTTTGAATAAATCTTAAAAACGTATTTTGTGTGTGTGTGCAAAGTCTTACTATTTTTCTTTGTTTTTTTCTCATTAAATTTAAAAACTAACAGCAAATAAATTTGGAAGAAATTAATTTATGGCTTCATAAAGAATCGTCTTTTTTTAAAGAAACTTAAATCGTAATAAAAGTTTTAAAAATGAAAAAGCACAATTTTAAGGTCATGTATTAAAAGGTAGACTTCATATTTGTAACATACATCATCAAATTCTTATTTAAGTTTTTGAGTTAGTTTTACACCGATGTCAACCCTATTTATTACTGACGTTAAAATGCGATTTTGTTGTAGTAATATATACATCTCAACACTATATATATACATACATATCAACACCTTTGTATAAGTTAAATATCTCATCTCCTAGATACATATAACCCCACTAAACAACCACAACGGTTAATTGAAACGATGGAAAACATCTTGCGTTTTTTGTTTGTCATGGTTTTGTGTGTCGGGTTGGGTAATGCGAAGATATGGGGGAAAAATTTAGTGCAATTTAAGAATTCTGTTGAGGGAATGCAAGTCAATATCTTTTGTAAATTGAACAATAAACAATTGTTCGTAGTTTTCTTAGAGCCTGGAGAAATCTATGATCATTGGTTTCATGGTCAGTTTGTAACCACAAACAAAATGGATTGTGACATAAGGGAGTTACAATATAAATTAGTAAGGATTAGGGCATTTAAAGGTGCTAGTGGCTCATTTGATCATGGTAAGACGAATTATTGGGATATTAGAGAAGATGGAATTTACTTTACACATGGTAAAGACGTACCAAAACTAGAGTATCCCTGGTAAAGTGTCCTTAGGAGTGGGCACATAAATCTTTTGTTACGAAGAAGAAGTAGAATCTATTTATCTTTGTTATACTTACAATTTCCTATTTTCTGTTATTGTAATGGATACCTATTGAATAAAATATTGATATCTCAATTTATTGCTTGTGTGACTATCTCGATGGATTTACAAATATAAGGGTGATTTTGGTGAATAACTATATTTGCTACCTAAATTAAAAATATAGCATCATATGTATCAAAACTAAGAAAGTAACATCAGAGATAAGGGAAAAGACAGTTTTGGTCTTGAAAGAAATCAACTATCTGTGATGAGATCAGTGGCAAGGAGAGAGATCAGTAAACATCAAGGAGAGAGATTCGTGATTGGAGGTTCAAGAGGTAGATGCACCGACGGAGATTTGGATCTCTCTTGCCGCGGGCCGGTTGGCGATCAGAGGCTCGAAAAGTAGATTCAGTGGTTGCAATAGGCCTGGGCAAAATACCCGGAACCGAATACCCGAACCGAAAAACCCGAACAATACCCGAACCGAACCCGAACCCGATTTTTAAAAATACCCGAATGGGTCCTAACCTCCTACCCGAAAAAAACCCGAACCGAACCCGAACCGAATCCAATACCCGAATGTACCCGAATGTACCCGAATACAAATATACACCTAAAAATATTAGTTATATTTATATTTATAATACCCGAAATACCTAAAATTACAATCATAAATCCGAATATATTAGGTATTTTAGATATTTTTGGTTATATTTGGGTAAAGAGTAACCAATGTATTTTCGAGAAATCGGGTATTTAGGTTAGATTTGGGTATATATGAGTTAAAAACCCGAACCCGACCCGAACCCGAAAATATTTCGGGTATTTTTGGTTATTTTCGGGTATTTTGCTTTTTTATTAAAATACCCGAACCGACCCGAACCCGAACCGAACCCGAACCAAATTTTTAGAATACCCGAATGGGTCTTGACCCCCTACCCGAATAGACCCGATACCCGAAAAAAAAGAACCGAACCCGAACGGGTACCCGAATGCCCAGGCCTAGTTGCAAGGGAAGGAGAACAAATGCGGAAGGCCGGTGGTGGCGGCGGCAGTGATGTTAATGGCGGTGGTATCGGTCGTCGGGATGACAGCCATGAAAGTATCGTGAGAAAGAAGAAGAAGAAAGAAGGGTAAAACTGTCATAATTATATAAAATATAGAGAATATCACTTTTATTTTTTGTTGGTGTTAGTTTCTTAATTTTTAATTTTTTTTAGGTTATCCAATGCAATTTCTCCAAATTGAATGTCTACCTTTTATTTAGAATAAAAAACAATAAATGTAGATGTCAAATATCGAAGTATCATAAATTCGAAGAAATTTTATAATGTATATCATAAATACAATATTATAAACAAATATATTAGAATAATTTTTTCTTGTGAGCACATAAAGATGTGATAGAAAGTGAAGTAAGACTTAGATAATCTTTGTTTTAGCTTTAAAATGTATTTTTGGTCGTATCAAATTATATCTGCCATCTTTTCAAAACATTTATTCGAGATTTATTTAGTAAAATATTTTTATTAAAGATTATAGACCTTAATTTATATGCGTATTTTAAAATCAATTAAGAAATTTTTTGAATCAAAATTATGTTCAATTTCACTACTTGCACATGATAAAGACAGTCATACATACTAAACAAAGATTGCACAAATGTATATTATACCTTTGATCCCATTGTTAATTTTAAGGTTAATATGTTTGATTATTTTATTTTTTTTGTCAACTACACATTAGTGAAAAAGTTTCTCCATGATTGGTAGCCCAATCTGGAGGAAACTAGGAAAGTGTACAAATGAAAAATTACTTTTCCTTTCAAGAGTTAGAAATTTTGTCATAAAAATAATAACTAGTAGATCGGTGGTTCTATATTGATTCGGTCAAAATTGGATTCCTTTTCTTTTTCTATATATAACATAAATGAATCCATTTAATTAAACAATGTTAAAATATAGTTGAACTATAATAGTTCAGTTTTAAAATCATTTGTTTTGATTCAGTTCAGAAGTGATCGGTTTGTCCAAATAAAACACCCGTAAATACAACCGGATTTTGAATCCTAATTTTGAGATAGAATTATGGTTTTGGTTTAAGCCTGCTGCCTGAACCAGCCAAATTATGGTTTTGGTTTCATGTCTAATCATCCCGCAGACCACTGTCCATGGCCAGCCCACGGACTCCCGGTCCTCAGTAACAAGAGAAACAAATTCTATCTCCAAGGCCTTTAAGGAATACATTAATTGATCTCAACTCTCAAGGTATCACAAGCACAATTACCCGTTCCACTAAATACATAGCTTTAGAAATATCTCTAAGCAACAACAGGACAGCTTCTAACGTATATGCAATAAAGTGACCAATCTAATGCCTAAAGTAGCGCACAAACATAAAACTCAATTCTTATTGCAAAGCCTGTCTCTCATTAACGCCAATTCCAGTAACAGTATATAATATATGATAGTGCAACGACAAATGCAAACGCATCACTGTGTGTTAACTAGCACTCTGCTTAGCACTAGAAGTAGATGTTGTCATAAACGATTCACCACACCCGCATTGTCCTTGTGAGTTAGGATTGATGAACACAAACTCTGATCTGCAATTAAAGAAAAGCGGTTAATATGGTTTTAAAAATCGACAAGTGACTTTGCGTTTGAAATGTGACAGAGGTCCAAACCTGAGTTTATCATCTACAAAATCCATCTTGGTTCCAATCACATGCATTAAGGCCTTTGGTTCAACAAGTATCCTCACACCTTTCTCCTCCACCAACTCATCAAATTTCCCTTTCTCATCTGTAACAGGACTTGCAGAGAAAACTGTTTAGACAACAACTCAATACTCGCAAGCAATAGCGTGAAATATAGCAAGAAACTCGTAATAGAGATTTCAGTACATCATAAATTGTGCATTAGCTGATTAGAAGATAGAGATTTCAGTATATCATAAAACCTTGAACCATATATTGATACTCGTGTACACAGCTTTGTTGGCTAGTCCATTACTTTTGCCCATTCAGTCATATACAGATATAAACAAGTTTGAATATTAACCCGACTACCAAGTTTGAGTACAAGAAAAATTCTGGAGCACCAAAATGTTACGTATCTAATATCTACCAAACCTAACTATCAAGTTTGAGAACAAAAAAATGTTACAGATTTACCAAATCTAACAATCAAGTTTGAGAACACAAAATGATATCTATCTACCAAACCTGAGGCAAACATCTACACACTTAGTGCAGACAAACATCCATCAATTTGCTTACTCTAAAACAGATAGCACTTGGAACATAGCAATGCATATGGCTTTTTCCTCGATGAGACAAACAGCTCGAAGTTTAAGGGAAACTATGCATACAGACCCTGAATTTGTCTCATACGACAAGAAACATCCACAGAATCGTTGACCTCTATAACAAATAGCACTTAATACAAAGCAATCATCAATGAGCCAAAAACCAGACTCATCATTATTGAACAAAATAGAACATAGCTATCCATACAAATTTTTCATCGATGAGCTAAGTATAAACCTGCGGCAAACATCTAGAGACTTTAAGAGAACCTATTCATTCAGCCACAGTGTCCGTGAATTTGTCTCATAAGACAAGAAACATCCACATAATCATTAAATCTATAACTAGATAGAACTTAATACATGGCAATCATTGATGAGCCAGGAAAATCAAATTCATCACTATTGAACACACATCATTCACAAATCTCAAATTTACCAAAGTCTAGTATCTATATCTCCTTATGCTGCCTATGACTCTCAAATAGAGGAATACAAACAAAACACAGCACAAGATTAAAACTAAAAAAAACAATCCCCCTAAAATCTAAATTGAAACTTGGTAACATCCATTGAATGTTTTACTGTAAACTAGATAGCACTTGGAACATAGCAATGCATACGGCTTTTTCATCCACGAAACTGTGGCGAAGATCTAGATAGTCAAGAGAACCTATGCATTCAGCTATAGTGTCCCTGAATATGACTCATAAACATCCGCAGAATCATTGACTCTATAACTAGATAAAACTTAATACATAGCAATCATCAATGACCCAAAAACCAAATTCATCACTATTGAATACACATCAAAAACATTCCCCAATCTCAATTTTACCAAAGTCTAACTCAAAAACTCAATTTGAACACACTATATCTCCTCGTCTATAGCTATCAAAGAGAGGAATAGGAACAAAACACAGCACAAGATCACAATTCAAAACTGAATCCCCCTAAAATCAAAATTGAAACTTGATTCCACCCAACAATAAAGGCGGTGAATTGAAATCAACCCAGAAGTTTTACCAGCATAATTGAGGGTGTAGGACAAGCCGTTGCAGCCACGAGCTTTTACGCCTAATCGGAGGAAAGGTTTTTGACGTTGTTGTAAGAGATGATGAACCCTAGAGGCAGCTTCGTCCGTCAAGGTTAATACTTGCTTCCTTAACGCCGGTCCAACCCTCGCCGCCGCCGCCGCCAAAACTTGAGAAGCTTTCATCGATCGAATTTAATCGAATCGTCGGAGAATTATAGATTTAGGGGCATAATTTATCAGACTTAATCAAAAGGTAGAAGACGATATCTCCTTTTTTTTTTTTTTTTTTTACCCAAGTTAGAAAATGAACAAGTCTGTTTTTTTTTTCTACTTAAAGAAATGCATATGTCTTAAAATTATATTTATAAATAATATTAAATTAAATAGGACTCGTGTATAGTCAGATTTTATAATTTTTACGTAATTTATTTTATTTTTATATTATTTGGTTTTCAATCACATTTTATTACCTATTTCCAAATATTTATGTTTTCTTATTCATATATTTAAATAACTACACATTCCTCTTGAATTCATCTATGTTACTCTATGTAGCAACTCTTGTGTTACACACTCATTTCATGAGACACATTCATGTACCAGCTTGAAAATCAGAAATTTAGAAATCCATCAATTCAAATAACGAAAGAAGATTAGAAGTAATAAAACTAAAACTTATCTTGTTAGATAACAACAATTCAGTTGGCTGAATTAGATTAAATTTTGTTTAATCGTATACATGTCCATTAAGGAACAAGGATTTATCGATGCTAAAGAGGGCTAATCCTGTTTTCGTACCGAGGAGTCTCTCATAGACAGGTTAAATATGGATATGCATGAAGCTTTGCCTCAAGATTGATAAAGAATGCAAAGTCTTGACGGTTCATGAATTATAAGATAAGTCTATGATAATCTCATGATGTTATAATAAACTTCCTTTTGTTTTTATAATTGATAAGCCTACGATGATCTCATGATGTAAATTGGTCATAAAATCTCAGCAAGCTATACTAACCGCCAACCGCATCTTGAGTGGGACAAAATGAGATTCTAGAAAAGATAATTGATACGATTTAGGTTTTTTGGAGACTAAAATAGATAACTAGTACATTCAAGGAAAAAAAATAGATAATTAGTGAGATCTTCCAGACTTCCAATATGAAGGTGGTTCTTGATTCACCAAATACCATCTTGTCTTAGATTATCTTGTTTGTAACAGTTCCATTCTAAGATTATGTTACTGAAAACAACACCAATGGTTCATCTTGACGTTTGCTTGGGTGGAGACTCATTACAACTGTGGAAACAAAAATAGTTGATGAAAACTGTAAACTGTAGAATATATCTCAGACAACAAAAATAATGTAATCAAAAACCAAATAAATAAATAAAAATATATAGATATATATGGGTCATGAGTCGTTCTAAGTATCTTCTTTAATCATGTATCCTAAGGATTAGAGAAAACCGTGTAATCTAGTCTGGGATCTTGAGTTTTTTAATCTATCCACTCAGAAAAGGTCCTTGAGGGCAGCATCGCACACAACCTCGATGTTCTCCACAACGATAACGTTATATAGAATGTACACCAACTCGCATAGAATCTTTTTGTCCTAAAAACCTTTGAAGTCTAGGGTTAACAGGGTGAATGCTCCATATCCCCGTTATCAGATCTGGTAAAATTTCTCTGTAGGTAGAGAACCTTCTCCTACAATGCCTGATCAAACAAGAGTTTATTAAAGGCTAATAGAAAAATTATAGTTTAAAAAATTTTCTTTGTTCAAATCAACGAAACAATTTTCTATTTATATTAAAACACATCTGGAGGAAATCAATCGTATTAAGGGAAGCTTTTTCAGCTTTTTCCATAGATCTCATCAGTAGACGAGCTAATACTAAAGCGGATAAGTTTGCACGCACCGTTCGTGTACAACCGCAATATGTAATGTTTGTAAATAATATTCTCTCGGATTGGCTCATTTGATCCGATCTATTTTCATATAAGTGGTTGACAAATGAAAAAAAAAAATTCTCTACTAATAGAATATAAAAAATGATGAACTTTTGTATTAAAAATAATAATAATAGGTTAGAATTTGTGGAAGTATTCTTTTATTTCATAAAAAGATGCATATTTATAAGTACATCCTAATACGCAAAGAAAAGGAAATTTCACTTAAAGGCAAAATTACACATATACAAATATTTGGAAATATCGAAGTATCCTCCAATATAATAAATTAATTAACGTAAATAATTAACTCTAAATAATAAAGATGAGATAAAAAATTCAAAAATCTCGGCTTCAAATGACAGCCCAACATGTGGCGCTAGCGGTCTCCATCTTTTCCATAAATCACCAGATTGAATTTTTTAGATGAATTCAACACCCTGATATCTTATGATTTTAAATCTTAGTTTCAATTAATTTTCTCTATTGTGCATTCATATTCATGTGAATTTGTTTTTCTTAGGTTTATGAAATGGATCATGAAGAGTTGAAGATATTTGTAGCCTTATGAGCAAAAAAGAGGTGGAATGAATCAAAATAGTGAAAGAATGATCAAAAGAAGATCAAGAGGAGGCAAAGAGAGAAAAAAATCAAGATTACAGATTTGATTTACTGTGCGATCGATCAGGTGGTCGATCAGCAGGTCGACCACTGACTAGACAGGTTGCGGATGTGAGGATTATTTTATTTTTTTAAATAAAACATTTAGTTTTATTTCATTTACATCATATGTCATTATAATTTTTTTTAAAATCTTATGTTTGCCTAAGTTACTGAAGAATCTTGAAATTAAAAAACAACATAATATATGCGCTTGCGCATAGGGATGGCAGACGGGCCTGCCCGCGACCAAACGGACCGCCCGCGATGTGCCCGCTTTTCTTCTGATCCGCGACGGACAGGCCCGCCGACGACCGCGGGTCACAAAACTCAGTCCTAACCCGCCCCGCAAAGCCCAGCGGTTAGACGGACCGGCCCGCGGGTCTGTGGACAAGACCTTCTTCTTCACGTTTCGTAGCTCTTTCTCCTCAGGTGTTCTGTTCTTTTTGATCTCTGGTTCATGATCCGTCCCATGATGTTGTCTGAGACATTGATTCCTTCCGTCCCATGTTGTTGTCATTTGTCAAGAATGTCATAAGTAGTTTAAGTACTTAGTTTAATGAACAAAGCTTAGTTTCGAGAATTAACGAACAAAGCTTAGTTTAAGTACTTAATATATGGTACATAAACATTACAAAGCAGAGAAAGTACTTAAAAGAGAATTAGAAAACTGAAAGTCTGAAACATTACAAAACAGAGAAAAAAAAAAAAAGGTGATATGAGTTTGCACAGAGGCAAGAATATATTTTCAGCTGAGAACTTGCAGACATCGTCTTTGCCAATGCAAGGATAAGCCTCATATATGTCAAGCCCACTGTTGTATTTGATGTATTCAAAGGCTTGAGAAGGAAGTCCACCATGACAAGCTGTTGCTCGGACAAATATATTCCTCTTCCAACAATGTCCTTTGTCTTTAACATGACTAAATAATACCATTGTCTAGGCCATTGTCTCTCCAATCATTCTGCAGTTTACACAATCTGAAGACTCAAGTCAAGACCAATCATAGAAATTTTAAATTCTTAACCGAGTTAAAGTCTTGAAGATAAAGAACAAGAAGGGAATGGTTACCATGTCTAGAACTGCAGGCCTGCAGTTTCGGTGAACTTGTGGTTACCTTCAAACTTCAAAATAGTAAAGCAATTTTGAGCAGCTCCAAGCATATGTGTCTTTGAAAATCTTGCTATGTCAAATCAGCTTATTATGTAGAAGAGAACAGATTCATTAAACATAAACAACACTAAGGTCACTTAACCATCAACAATCAACCATCAAAGAATCCAACTAAAAGCCTAAACAAGTATAACAAGTATAACAATGTTGTCACAATGTCACATTTATTTTCAAATCAATCAAATCCTTCAAAGTGGCTATATACTTGAGCACACTTCAGTACTCTAAAGCATTAGCAATCATGAACTATGTGATCTGAGACTCTGAGACAACTCAAATAGAACGTTATTGAACTATGTGAATTAAGCAAAAAAACTCAAATCAAAACATAGAGATACCGTTACGAACTTACGATGTACTAATCAAACTTCAGTTCAGACTCTAAATCATTAACAAACCTCAAACCAAACATATACTTGTCTAGAATCGATGATTGGATTTGCCCGACTACTCGACCATAGTCCTTGTTCGACTGAATCATGTGAAGTAAGGATGGCTAAAATTCTTTCAATTAATCGATAATTTGAGAAGAATGGAAGCAAAAGATTAAAAATAAATTCAGATTAATGGAGAATTCCAGAAGATTTGAATCAAGAAGGATGGAGATGAACGAAACTTCGGACAACCCGCAAACCCGCGACCCGCATAGGACAAAATCCGTTTGACCCGCAAACCGTATGGGTCTAGACCGCGATACCCGCTCTTTTTTGGGCATCCATTTAAGGGCCCAAGCCCGCCCCGCTAAGTGACATATTGGGCCAGGCCCGCGGGTTAGAGGCCCGATTGACATCCCTGCGCATATCTATGGTTAATTTATTAATTATCATTCTGCTACAGTTCTACTTTATAGAACTAAACATACTTCTACTACAATTTACGACGTCCACATCACTCAAACAACAAGATTGACACCAACATTATCCAAAAACGACTGCGTTTAAGGTTTGTTTGGAATTCCGACCCTACACAATTAAAAGAATTGGGTCCCGAAAATGAAAGAAAAGCCGAGTCATCGGGTCTGTGTTCAATGCCACGACAAAATCATATCCACAACTACCATCTCTCATTAATCACCGTAATTAAAGCTAATCTAAAATCAAAAGTTTAAAACCAATAATCATCAAACCAAATCATGCTTTTCCACAATTAAAACTGCATCTATCCTCTACAAAATTATTCATGTAAAAATTACACAATTTCATAAAAGCATGACTCTCGTAATGTATACTCTCATTCACACTATTACTTCACTTCACCTAATAAAAAATCATTCAACCGACGTGAAAGATGCAAAATAATTAAACAATTTTAAACCTAATTAATCAGTCAAAAAAGTAACAATTATTTCCCTTTATATTTTTCAAACCACAACAACACTCCACTATCTCCACTAACACACAATGGCCTCTTCCATATTTCTTCTTCTCCTTCTCTTCTTCTTCTTCCTCTGTTCTTCGATCACTTCCTTTAAAACAGAGAAGAAGACTTTCATTTTCCGAGTAGACAGTGGACTAAAACCGTCAGTTTTCTCTACGCACTACCATTGGTATAGTTCTGAGTTCACTGAAGGTCCACGAATTCTCCATCTTTACGACACAGTTTTTCATGGCTTCTCGGCAAGTGTTACATCAGAGGACGCTGAAAACCTCCGTAACCACCCTGCGGTTCTTGCGGTTTTCGAGGATCGTCGTCGTGAACTTCACACCACTCGTTCTCCTCAATTCTTAGGTTTACGTAACCAGAAAGGACTCTGGTCTAACTCTGATTACGGATCTGATGTTATCATCGGTGTTTTAGACACCGGAATATGGCCGGAGCGGAGGAGCTTCTCTGATCTAAACCTTGGACCGGTTCCGAAGCGGTGGAGAGGTGTTTGTCAAACTGGAGTTAGGTTTGATACAAGAAACTGTAACCGGAAAATCATCGGCGCTAGGTTTTTTGCCAAGGGACAACAAGCTGCCATGTTCGGTGGAATCAATAAAACGGTTGAGTTTCTGTCACCGCGTGATGCGGATGGACACGGAAGTCACACGGCCTCAACCGCAGCGGGTCGTCAGGCCTTTAGGGCCAATATGGCTGGATACGCCTCTGGTGTTGCCAAAGGTGTAGCCCCTAAGGCACGTATAGCTGCCTACAAAGTGTGTTGGAAAGAGTCTGGCTGTCTTGATTCCGATATCCTCGCTGCTTTTGATGCTGCGGTCTCCGATGGGGTCGATATTATCTCTATTTCCATTGGAGGAGGAGATGGAATCCCATCGCCGTATTATCTCGACCCCATCGCTATAGGTTCGTATGGTGCCGCGTCGATGGGAGTCTTTGTCTCCTCCTCTGCAGGGAACGATGGACCGAATGGAATGTCCGTAACTAACTTAGCTCCGTGGATAACCACTGTCGGCGCGGGAACAATCGACCGGGATTTCCCGGCTGATGTTGTTCTCGGAGATGGACACCGTCTCCGAGGTGTTTCACTCTACTCCGGTGTGCCGCTCAACGGCCAGATGTTCCCGGTGGTTTATCCGGGAAAGAAGGGGATGTTAGCTGCTTCTTTGTGTATGGAGAATTCACTTGATGCTAAGCTTGTGAGAGGTAAAATTGTGATTTGCGACCGTGGAAGCAATCCTAGAGTAGCTAAAGGACTGGTGGTTAAGAAGGCAGGCGGCGTTGGGATGATACTCGCTAACGCCGTCTCTAACGGTGAAGGCTTAGTCGGAGACGCTCACCTTATCCCTGCTTCAAATGTCGGATCAAGCGCCGGAGACAGAATCAAAGCCTACGCTTCGACTCATCCGAATCCTATAGCAACAATAGATTTCAAAGGGACAGTGATCGGAGTTAAACCGGCTCCTGTCGTGGCTTCTTTCTCTGGCAGAGGACCAAACGGTTTAAACCCGGAGATTTTAAAACCTGACTTGATTGCTCCAGGGGTTAACATCTTAGCGGCTTGGACAGACGCGGTTGGACCTACGGGGATAGAATCTGATCGTCGGAAAACAGAGTTTAACATTCTCTCTGGTACTTCCATGGCTTGTCCTCATGTTAGTGGAGCCGCGGCTCTGCTTAAGTCAGCTCATCCGGATTGGAGTCCGGCCGCTATAAGATCAGCCATGATGACAACGGCTAGCCTTGTGGATAACTCGAACCGTTCGTTGATAGACGAGTCCACTGGAAAACATTCGACACCTTATGACTTTGGTTCGGGTCATCTTAATCTTGGTCGGGCTATTGATCCAGGTCTTGTCTATGACATAACCAATGATGACTATATCACGTTTCTTTGCTCCATCGGCTACGAGATGAAAACAATTCAGGTGATCACTAGAACACCGGTGAGATGTCCGAGAAGGAAACCGTCGCCTGCTAATCTTAATTATCCTTCGATCACGGCTTTGTTTCCAACCTCAAACAGAGGTTTTCTGAGCAAGACTCTGTTTCGGACGGTTACGAACGTTGGACAGTCCGAGGCGGTTTATAGGGCGAAGGTAGAGTCACCTAGGGGAGTGACAGTGACGGTGAAGCCGTCGAGGTTGGTGTTCACGTCGACCATTAAGAAACGAAGCTATGCTGTAACAGTGACGGTGGATACAAAGAGTTTCGTGCTTGGTGAGTCAGGTGCGGCGTTTGGTTCGGTTACTTGGTTTGACGGTGGAAGACATGTGGTTCGAAGCTCAGTTGTAGTGACGCAGATTGACCCATTGTGAGTCAGGGCGGGTCTGGCCGATCATGACTAATGAATGAATCTTGTATGCCAAGTAACTATAGAAGTTTTAAGGTTCTTTTTAGTTTTTCCTCTTTTTTCTTGTTAGTGATATTGATATTTGCCGTTTGTCTTTTTTTTACATTCCCCATATATCAAAGGAGGAAACATATAAAAAACTCTTTGTATCTCACTAAAAAAGGGAAAAAAAATCTCACACACACAATCACAAGAAGAACTCTCTTTTATAGCACCTCCAAATTGCTGCATCTTAAAAATAGCTGAGACTTGGACTTCAATTTACACATCACCCTCTTTTGGGCTCACTCCTTCGGCCCATGTACAAGCCATACTTGAGACCCAATGCTCATTGATCAGACAACATGCCAAAAAGCCTAGGGTATAGAATTCTAGTTCTTGCATGATTGTCTCATTGGAACATATTCGAGTTCTTGCTGGCTCTTCGTAGTTTTGTTTGGACTTTTGTTTGGGTATATAGATATAGTATGTATAGAAAAGAGAAAGACATTAAAGAATAAATTTTTAATACGTTCATTTTTTTTCTTCTTTTCAATTAAAAGAAATATGGTCGCTGTTTTTAATTCTCTCTCTGAGTGAAGCAGAGATGGTGATAAGATTTGCTGATTTTTTATGTCGGTGTCTATTAGAGAAGCAAAAAAGTAATTGACATGCGTGGCGAATTTATAGGAGAATATGGACTATGAGATCCAAATCAACATTGTTTTTGTTAAATATCAAATTGTATTTTAAAATATTTTGGATAATAGTGTTTTAGATAATCAGATTATCAGTTTCACACAAAAAAAAAGAAAGATAATCAGATTATCTATATCAAAATTAAATATGGTATGTCACGATCTTAATACTTGTAATGCACAAACCTATTGCAGATATAAAAGATCATATTGATAGTACATATATAAATGGTCCCTTCGACAATAATATATGCTCAAAAAGAATTTGATTGAATACTCTAAAAAAAAAAAGAATGGTATAACACATAGTTCTGTTCTAAAAAACGATCGATTGCCCTCATGACGGTGGTCTAGTGGTAAAGGAGAATTGGGGAAAAGTTAGAAAGAACTAACTCAGATTAGATTCACACTGGAAACAAAAATCACATTTGTGTGAGAAGTCTGGGCTTGGACTTTGGCCCAAGCAATTCACATAGTATCCGAGATTAGGCTAACTGGATATCCCAGACATTAGTTGGAAAGCATTCCAAATTTGGGGTTAGGTAGTGTGGTAGTCTAACACCTAGATGTTGGCGACGAGTTTATATGATAGCACTTTAATGCGTTTTTCCCGACGCTGACCGGATCAGCCGATCAGATATATCAGAAAAAAAGAAAGAAAAAACGATCAATTAGGTATACATAATTCAATTAGTAAAAAAATACACAAATGCTTAAACACGACGCGGAGGCAAACTTGACTACAAAAAGAAAAGTTGACTTTAACGAGACTAATGTCGACGTCGTTAAAGATGGACAAATCTAATCTCTTCTTCACACGTAATTGTCCAAAGTTATCTTCTTACCAACTTTACGATTGTCAATCTCAGCTTTCAACATCCCAATAATTCCAATTCCAAAAACAAAAAATAAAAATCCATGATATTTTATACACTATATATCTCAAACATGGCCAAAATTTGGGATTTATACTTAAAACCATTCACAACAAATTTATATAGAAGACGTATAAAATAAAGTCTCTCATATATGTAAAATATCGTTTCTAGTAAGACAAATTTGTAACTTTTATGTTTGCTTAACCGACAAAAAGATATAAACAACACAATCAAACACACAAACGTCATAATTAAAGGATAGTGCTGGTGAGACTGAATGATAAACTCAAAAAAGTAAGCACTAACCAGCAATAATTAAACATTAATCGATACCTATTAACGTTAATTATTGACAAAGTGAGTCAAATCATATTCTCTTGATTAATAAATTTATTTGGCACGGTCTTGGATAATATCGAAACCCATCTCCGTCGGATCAGTGGCTTGAAGCTCATAGTGAATCCCTTCCAACACTCTCCTCAGTCCATCTTTCGACGTTGCGTACAATATCTTTGCCCTTATCCTTGACGCCTCCGGTGACCTATAAATTACCATTTTACCCTTAGCTCATACGAATATACAGGGGTATAATCGTAAAACGATGTCTCCGGCGATGTAACTCCGACAAAAACATATAATTATACTATTATACCCTTGAACCAAAACGAATGTTTAAGGATTTAGCGTTGCTATGAGGCAAGAATATTACGAAATACCTGATTTACCCTTGGTTGTTACATGAATTAAGAGGGGTATAAAGGTAAATTGGACTAACCATGCAATGAAGAAGATCTTGCTCTTGCGACAGTTATCAACGGTGACGAAGTCGAAATCAAAGACGGCGTAACGACAATCATCCATCGGTAAAGAAGCGGCGAGATCGTGGTAGCTTTCACCGGCGCCGCCGACTTTATCGACCGTGACTTTACGTGACTTCTCTTCGATCTTGAAAATGATGTATCTATGAATTTTCTTCCATTTCATCTCCATGTATGAGCTTGTACACTCATCCGTCACACGCATCCCCGTCGTCGCCTGCGAAATCGTATGATGATCATCATTAGAGATCAAGAATCTTTAAACGTAGAAAAACAAATTTGAATATTACCATCTTGAAAGCCATCGCCATTGTTGCTAAAGATTAAAGTTTGATTCTTTTTCTTCTTCTGTCTCTTTCTCTTTTTGAGGCGTGGAGAGCTTCTTTTTCTTTGTTCTGTTCAAATGGTAAGACTTTGAGGTCTTTATATAAAAAGTTATGCTTATACAAATGCGATCACTATTTACTCTTATTACAAACTTATCCTTGTCAACTTTTTTCGTTAGAGACGAATATTTTTGTTCTTTTTCTCGTCGGCATATAAACGTCACCGTGTGTTCTGCACTAATAAACCTTATCAAAAAATAAGTAATTACTTGCTTTTTTTTTTCTTTTTCTTTTTTCTAATACATATCTAATGATTTATTTGCGTATGAATTTTGGATCAACATTTTCATTTTGTCAAAGAATTTATTAACCATTTGAAATTTTTTTTTGATAGATTAGTTATTCAGTTATGATCTTTGAAAAACATCCTCGTGGGTACTGTAACGCCCTGACCGTCATACCTCTTTTAATGGTCTCACGTTCTCTTTAAAGACTTGTTACCGACCCTACAAATCACCACATGATCTTTTCCTGTGTTTTGTCCTCACTCACATAGTTCTGACAATCACTTCTCGGAAGGCCACCCATCCTGAAATTACTCCAGCTCAAGCACCCTTAACTGTGGAGTTCTCTCAAAACAGTTGATCGAAAAGATAAGTGCACTTTTGGTGATATAAGTGGTCAAATCAATTCTTTTAAACCTCTCCGCATGTACCACCATATTCCTGAAACCAGGGTCTTACCGGTACTATCTTCATTTTTTTTTGTGAACCTCTCGTCACCACTATGATTATAGGGTTCCCTACTAAGCACATTATGGGATTAATACAAAGAAAATTAAAGTATATATAAACGATACGGACAAGAGAAATTAAATAATAGGTCAATGCTTGCTTATATGCAATTAAAATACTTAGAGAAAAATGTGACGCTAGGAATGGAGAGAGTGGTCCCAATGAATAGAAGTGGATCTCCAAGTAAAACCAACACCCACAATTTCATTGATCTTTACAATTTCGTGTTACTCAAAACTCAAGTGACACTTTACGTGAAAGCTAAGAATTGAGATATAGATGTCATATTATTCCATTTTTGTTTTCGTTAGTTTTTCAACTTCTATTATTGGTATATAAGTTGACAATTCAAACAGATAATTCAGCGATGAGATGGGGCATCCGAAACAATAATAGTCTAATAGTAATAGGTAAGAAATTATTAGTATATTCATATGTGGGGGTAGTACAAGACTACAAGCACAAATGTTATTCATATTAATATGTATATAAAACTATAGTTTTTCTATTGATTTTGATTGTAAAATGGGTCCATAGGATCTAATATAAGGATACGTTGAAGGTCACTACACAATTTCAAGATTTTAGTTAAATCCCGAAACTATTCGAGTCTTCCCATGAAATTGTCGAATGCATGAATGGTACAAATTGAGCAACTTCACAACATTTGTACTATACCATATATAGAGAAATATATATATATATATATATATATATATATATATATATTTCTCTATATATATATATATATATATATATAATATATATATACGCACCAGTACATACATGACATAAATAAATAAATATATATACATGTGTGTAATTATAGTAAAACTTCTATAAATTAATAATATTGGGACTAATGTATTTTACCAAATTCTATTAATGTGTTTAATAATTTATAGATGTGATATTTGGGTCAAGATATCAATTTAGGACGGGAAAAATTATTAATTTAACGAAGTATTGATTTATAGAGGTTTTACTGTCTATACATAACAATCGATATCAATTTGTGTCTATGAGTACGTGCACACTCGATCACCTAATGTTCGAGGCAATCAAAGTACCATACATGGGGACGTAAAAGACCATTCCAAAATACCAAACATTAAAATCTAATGTTAGGTGAGAAAATATATGGCCACGTGAGGTCGACAAGCCTTTCACCTCCAATCCTTTTCCGGTTTTTCTCCTTTTTTGTTTCAGGGAAAAGAAAATCAAACTTAAATCAAAATCTATAAACGATTCTGATTCATTATGATTACTGGCTAATATGATTTCGGAAGTGTATTTTTGGGTTTAACTAGTTTACAGAAAATATATATGTTCAATGTTTCTTTTCTCTTTTTTTAAACTGGGTAGAATTTGGTTTGTGTTACGGTGGAGAAGATATAATAGAAAGAAAACGTATTTGAGGAGCTATGTAGATTTACTGTCTATTACTCCATCTAATTTACAAAGATAGTGCGATATGTTTTCTCATATATTACAAATTTTATTAAAGTCTGTTAATATTTTTGTTATCCTTTTCATATAAAACTTATTGGGTTAATGGTGTTTGAGATAACTCTAAAAAGAAACAATAACTCACTAGGCCTTGATGTAGTCCACATACAATATGTTGTTAATTTGGGTTTTCTATTTTCTAATGCAATAAAGATTTGGGGTTATAATTAACAATATATAAACACTAGGTAAACAAAGGAGTAAATGGCCTTCGGATATTGTTCGAATCACAGGCCTAACTATATCTCCTAAACTCTGAGTTTGTCTTAAAAACATTTGAAAGGAAGGAAGCAACTTGTCCTCTTTTCTTATATGTGTTATCCATGGCTTAATTAATGTATTATGTCACGGGTGCATCTAGATGTGATGTGTAATCTATCCATAAGAATATCTTATTATATAAAGTATGGTTTTCAAAGTTAATAACTCACGAGATCGTGACACATGTCAAATTTTTCGATCTGAGATTTTGACATGTGTCAAATAAAATTTTCCTTTTATAAAGAAAAAAAAAGTAAAAAGATAATTATAAAAAAATTATAAATTTAAACAGTTTTAAAATGTAAAAAGCTAATTATAAGGAAATTGTACATATATTTCCATAAGAGTTTTTCCATCTAGCAAGCAAAATTTTTGTTTTTAGAAAGCTAATTATAAAGAAATTGTACATATATTTCCATAAGAGTTTTTGCCATCTAGCAAACAAAATTTTTGTTTGTAGAAAGCTAATTATAAAGAAATTGTACATATATTTCCATAAGAGTTTTCCCAAGAAATATTTTTTAAAATAGAACAAAAAATTAAGAAAATTATACAATCAATTATTAATCCTATAAGAAAAAGGAATGTAAATAGTCACCTTTAAATAAACAAATAAATTGTCTCATATTTTCTCATCAAGCAAACTAATTTCTTAACGATGTTATATCATATCAATTATAAAAAAATATTTCGAATCACGATGTTTTTCTAAAAATAGCATGTGATATTCAGATCTAATGAATATATGGCAATTGAGGCAAATTAATAATGATGAACGGCGATAGACATAGACTAGAGTTATTGTCGGAGAGCCTTGGTCCAATGTCGGAGGAGATAAAGAAGGTGGAGTAATAAGAGAAGTTGGGAAAAGAGGATAAGAGACGGTAAGTAATGTTGGTGTTGATGATGGTGGTTCAAGCTTGGTGGTGGTAGCGGCGGTAAATATTGATGAAGGTGGTGAGTCAGAATTAACGAGATTCGGTATTGTTGGTGGTGGTGATTGTGATAGTAGTGAGATTTAGTTGTGGTGGTGGGTCAGAGTAGTGAGCCCGGTGGTGATGCCCGACAAATGCGAGAAATGTAGATAGGGAAAAAAAATAAAGATATGGTGGTGAAGAAATCCGACGGAGAGAGAGAAAGAGAAAGAAAGAGGAGTTCGAACAAAAATAAGAGAAATCTAATGAGAGAAACATAGAGATTTGAAAATTAGAAAGAAGAGAAAACGAAGAAACTAATAATATGAGCCAAAAAAATGACAAAAGCCATGTAGCAAATAGATAATGTTTAGTCTGATGTTTTTTTTTTTTTTTTGTCATCCGAAACTACTTAGAGCTCAAAAGAGCCATTCCTGGGGAATGTTGTTTACATATGTGATATGAAGCGGTTCTGTACGAACTTTTCGTGCCAGATTATCCGCTTTAACATTAGCACTACGAGAAATTAAAGATAAAGAGAAAGTTGAGAACTCTTCCTTGTCGCTCTGAAATTCCTCTAAATACACTGAAAACGCCGGCCATTCGGTTGGAGAAGACACCATCTTCACCAGATCAGAACAGTCTGTAAAGAACGCCACCTCTTGATTATCTGCACCAATCATACACTTCATCGCCCAGAGAAGGGCCTCGACTTCTGTATGTAGTGGAGATAGACTTCTACGGAGGTTGGCAGCTCCCATGGTTGGCGGCTCTCCATTTGATGATGTACAGAACCATCCTGTACCGGAGAACTTATCACTTAGTCTGATGTTATTTTAAAAAAAAAAATTAGTCTTAAGTTATTTAGTGTATATTCTCTAATTCCTTATAAAGTTTTCTCTTTTTATTGAGGATATTTCATATTACCAAGTAAAGTTACATGACATAGATATAGACGGTCTCATATTTTTTCTTCTTTTATTGTCACAATTTTATTATGACATCAAACTTTTCTAAACAAAATCATATATTTACGTATCTCATACTATATGTTTACATATTATACATATATCGTTCATATATTTACGTAACTATATAGTTTTATCTTTTTTTATTGTCATAGTTTTATTTCCATCTTGCTCACATTGAAATTATAAGATGTGACACACTCTTCTGATGGATGTAAATAACTTATTAAAATTCAATAATACAACATATGAATATTTATGACTTCATAACTTATAACAAGCAAAGAATTATATAATTTTATAAATAGGCCAACATTTATATTAGATAATTTAATAATTAGTATAACATAACTACAAATAATGTTTTATATTGCGCATTATGCTAATAAATCTATATTTAGAAATAATTATGCTGCATTTTCTAAAATATATATGTTTATAGAATTTTAGTAATTAAGCTTACAAAAATAAAATAAAAATATTAAGAATGATAATCTCGACTCGCAACCCATGCAAAGCACGGGTCCATATCTAGTTTTATATAATTATTGGGTTGTACTAATTAATCACATATAAATTTTCGACAAAGGAACATAAACATGATTTTTATAGTGGACATAATAGA